AAAGCAGAAGAGAAGTCTGGAAGGGATCAGGGGGCTCCCTTCCCGGAGTCGGTCCGTGGCCAATTCGCTCAGGGCAAATTCACAATGCGAGTCGTGCTATTACTCCAGATTAGCCTTTTTAAAACACGATAAACAGTGCTCCCACGCGCCGCCAAGAAAATCATCAGCTTCAGGGTTGGCGCCTGCTTGGGACGTGGCCTCCACGCAACTTCCCGCGGGAATGATCGGCGCGGGGCGGCTTGGGGGCACGTGCGACGGAGAGGGGGGGGGGGGGCGACCGACTCGCCAACGAGTATTCGTTAGATCACAGATAAAAAAGGTGAAGGTGCAGCAGATCTGCAATTGCTTGCCGATTACCCCCTTCCTGGGGGAATGGGCATTCACTCGATGGTCTCTGTCAGAAGTGACGCGAGCAAGTATATCGCAGGGATCCATTTTCCCTTCAGCTCCTCGCGACATCGAAAAACGTTGCCAGAGTCGGGATATCTACGAGACACCTGCCCCACGGTAGCCGTGGCCCTGACAGGGAGGGCCCTGACAGGGAGGGCCCGGCCCCGGGCCTCCCTCCCCATCCCCCTGAGAAGTTGAGAACGAGAGAAGAGGCCGAGAGACATCAGGATGAGAGCTTCCCCACGCTGTAACGCAGGTGGCAAGCCATTTGGGGGGGGTGGGGGCAATGTGCATCATGCGACCACCAACAGAGGGGGGGGGGGGGGGGATGGGCGGAGAAGCAGAGAATGAAAGCGAGAGAGAAAGAGACCGAGAGGGAGGCGGAGAAAGATCAGGACCGGCTCCACCGGCCGCCCCTGACAAACGGCGTCAATCCGGGATTAACGGCGGTGGCGTCGACGGGAGCGTGGGCTCCGTCGCGGCGATCCGCCACGGGGTTTTCAAATTCCTCATGCCAGGTGTGGTCGATGGGGCGGGGGGGGGGGGCGTGGAGGGTTTATGGACTTACGCTGACGTTATCGGTAACACCTGGCTCTGCAAAACATTTTATGATAAACTCCGGCAGCCGGTCGCGGCAGCCGCCCTTGCCGCACGTCCGCCCGATGGTCGGATGGGCCGTGTGACGACAAAAAAGAAACCGCCGCGGTTACCGCGCTCGACCGGAGGACGGGGTCGCGTGTGGCGCCCTTCACCTCGGGCGATCGCTCGCAGCGATCCACATGTCCGGAGCGGCGAGAGGCCGCGTGTCTTGTCTGGATTTGCCGTAGCCAGGTGCGAGGTGGCCACGTCTGACGAGGGCCGGCCGAGCTGGGCGCCTCCAATTGCCACCCCGGTCTCCACTCCGTGCTCCGTGTGTGTGTTGAACTTCTTTTGCACCGCACTTGGCCAACCCTGCCAATCGGAGGCGCGCTTGAGGCTGCTATGTGGCTGTGGGGTGTCGCGAGCGTGGGGCGTTCACGGGCGCTCCCCCTCCGACGTGGCCGGATGGCGGTCGATGATCGCTAGGCCGGTGCGCGTGTGGCACGACCGTGCACGACCGACGGACAGACGTGACCCGATGGGAAATGCACAAACCGCGGCTCCAATTACGCGGCCCCACTTGAGAGTTGCGCCGCGACGTCCATCAGATCCGTCTGGCGGAGCCCCCCCCCCCCCCCGCGAGGCATCGGGAACGCGTGGGGTCACCGGCGGCTCCGGCCAGCACCCCGAGGGGAGCATGGGGGTGGGGTGGGGGGGGGGGGGGAAGAGGCCCGCCGGCCAGACAGCAGGGGTCGTGACACCGCTCGAGTGGCTGCGTTTGTGTCGCCGATGGCCCCAGGGACGGGCCGTGTCACCATCGCTCATCCTCCAGCCGGACACCGGCACGCCCCCTCTCTACCCCCCCTCCACCACCCACCAACGCCGCATCCCCCACGCGGCCCGAGACTCGTGCTCGTCTGTGCACACCCGACGCATTCCAGCGGTGCCGCGCTGTCAGACTCGTTGGCCCGAGCGGCTGTTCCTTGGCTCACGTAGGGCGGGGGTGGAGGGTGGCTCTTCAGCCCAGAAGAATACGTGGATGTTCCTGCGGAGGTGAGATCTTTACACGCCCGGGGCTGTGCGTTAAACCCGGCAACCACGACACCTGCCCGTCGCAGAATTTGCACACAATGCGATTGTCCATGACGCACCACGCACACATGCGTGGGAGTTGCAACGAAGGGCGATAGTTTGCGATGGAGTGGCCGAGAGGGGCGAGAAGTCGCACCGCCCGGTCAGATGTTTGCGCAACGGTCGCAGGTTGCGCAACATCCGCGGTGGAGTGTTGGTCGAGGGGAGCGATGTTGATAGTGGCGGAGCGATCGGGCATGCAGGCGGTGCAACGGCACCCGAGGGGGGCCCTGGCACCGCGCTACGAAGACGAGGTAGTAGACTGCACAAGGGGGCCACAATTTTTATTCCTTGCACCAGGAGCACTGCCAAAAGATGCATCGCTGCCACGTGTTAGCAGCCGCGGGGATCCATGATGTAATTTACTTATCCTGGAAATCCTCCCCGAGTCTTAGGACTCTATCGGGACAGTCCGGGATTAGGGTGTTTGACCAATTCTAATATTTCACGAGCGCTTTGCATCTGGGAGGAAAATCGGGATGACGCTCGAATAGGTCCGCGCAGATGGGATCACGAACCCACTTGCTGTGCTACCATCTCACAACAGCTTAGCCTAGCGGAGCTTCGGCAGTCTCACGAATCTAGCCGATTCACCAACCCCCCTTGCTGGGCGCCACAGAGACGAGATGTTAACGACCTCGCCTGGAGTTGGCATGTCTCTCTCCCCGTGGTGTGCTGGACTTTTGTCTGGGTCATACGGTTTTTCACCCCACATTTAGAATCAAGACGTGTTTCTATAGTGCTTGGCTGCTAGAAATTATCCACATGACGATAAGACAGTTCGTTGAGCTATCACTTGTGGCCAGGTCGCTTCTGAAAAATAGCTACATCACTCGGTGGGCCTTTTACCTGGTCAAATAAAAATAGTTTTAGTTTGAGGATAAAATGTCAAGTCGAGCCACCGCGACCCCAAGCTGTCACAGCCACGCCTCCGTGGTCGCTAAGTTACCAAGCGGCCAGCAAGCCCTGTGGGACAGCTGATGTCCCCTCAGCCCCAAAGCATTTTGGAGAGGGGGTGAGATCCACCATGCATTGCGGTGGGAGCATCGCGGGTTATGGCCTCCGCTCTTCATCTCCGCGAGCATATAAAAGCACGCAGACGAGACCCGGAAGGTCGAAAAACTGGTCCAGAGTTTCCTTGTTTAAATGCATTTTGCTTTGCTGGAAAATATTTAATCTGCAAAGTCAAAAGGCCGATGACCAATTTATTGTATTTATTCTGGGCCCGATAAGATTTGAGATTAATTCTTATCAGGCCCCAAGGTACAGACCACCGTCTCCAACTAGTATCAGCCACTATCTCACTGGCCTCTCTCTCTCCCTCTCTGTGCCATGAAGAAGGGCCATTGCCCAAAACGTCGCCAACATTTCGTTTTCCTATCTTCAGCTGTGGCAAAGACCGCAATGATGTGATCGTAAATTCGAAGACCAAAGCATTTGCCGGATGACCGCGCTGCATCGTCGCTTCAGCCGTTCTATCGACGTGGAACGGAGGGCCTTTAAGGAAGGGCTTTAAGGCCGTTTTTCACTTGTGAGGTTACTCTGGCCCTGCTTGCTCACACCGATGCTCCCGATCACGGATAAGATATCAGTGGCTGCCTGACATCGAACCCAGTGCTGGGTGCACTTTAGGAACCTGCCTGCAGTGGCCAGCGTGAGGCAGTGCATTGAGAATCAAAGTATTCATTTGTACTGGAGGAATCCGATGAGCTATAAAGCACTTTTTTCCCACAGGTGTCCGGTAAGACTTTCAATCAACTCCCACAATGTGCAGGGCATGGGGAGGGCCCTCATCCAGCAGTGGATTGGCCCAAAGGGCCGTTACATGTACCGTGCACATAAAAAAAAAACACCCCGCTGTCTCGCTTAACTTTTTCAGCAACAACAACAACACATGGTCAACAAGGGCGGCGTTAGTCAGCCCGGCGGTTTGTGACGACGGGGCGTCCGTGTGGCCACACAAACTATTTGCAATTGCCGCTCCACAAATGGGTACCGATTGTATATTTTTCCTTTCAAGGCCACGCAGTATTGTCGACGGATGTGTCGAGCCGTTTGTGTTATATGTGCTTGGGCAAGACGACCAAGGCAGCAGCATCATCACCACCACCACCACCACCACCACGAAACAACGCCTTTAAATCTGCTGCAGTTAACACATTCATGGTAAAGTGAGCATTAAATATTGTACGGTGCTCATCAAAACTGCTTAGGACTTCAATTTCAATGTTGCTTTTGATCCCTTAAATTACATTTAATTCTCACCAGTGCGTGACAAACACGGAGGGTAAAATACTCGGAGAGACCCCCAAGACATGGAATGTTCGTCACACCCGAAACTACATTTCAGACGGCGTATCATCAGCTGGACCGCTTCGTACGTATGTTGAACTTCTTTCGCACCATACGTAGCCAACCGTGCTCATCCGAAAGCCTGCCCATCCACTGGGTCGCTCCGATCACGACGTTCGAACTGCGTCAAGAGTCAGGGTTCGATTCTGGGTGTCAGCCGCTCACGATTTATTAAAAGGGGCTCCGAAGGGTAAAGCCCTGCTGTTTTGAGCCCAGTAACGAATCACTCTCCCCACCCATCAGCACTTCGAATTTGATGTTTACGCTTAAATTGAGCAAATTAAAACTCTTAGAAATTCCGGTTTGACTTGTGCGATGAACGTCTCTCCGGCGGGACACGTTGGGACGTGTTGGAGAACGGCCTGTGGAAGATGACATCACAGAACTAGTTCGGAGTTTTCTCGTCAATTACGGCTCCAGCTTCTAAGCCATCGCCAGGCCTCGTGGCGCCTGTAACGGCCGCATTGGCGAGGACGCGAGATGGCCGCCCTGTCCTGCCGGGACAACGATGGGGGGGGGGGGGGGGGGTTGGTGGGGTCGGGCTTCACCTTCGCTGGTCGACGTGGCATAGTCGGGGAAGTGTGTGGAGTCCGGAGCCTTCCAGGCCTTGGTTTGGTCGTTGGGGACAACTGAATCTGGCAATGGGGGGCGGGGGGGGGGAGGTGAACAAGAGAGCACGCCGGCGTTAGGAGAAAAAAAGATTGACGAGAAACGCACTAACGGACAGAACCACACTAACGGACAGAACCACACTCACGGACAGAACCACACTAACGGACAGAACCACACTAACGGACAGAACCACACTAACGGACAGAACCACACTAACGGAGAGAACCACACTAACGGACAGAACCACACTAACGGACAGAACCACACTAACGGAGAGAACCACACTAACGGACAGAACCACACTAACGGACAGAACCACACTAACGGACAGAACCACACTAACGGACAAAACCACACTCACGGACAGAACCACACTAACGGACAGAACCACACTAACGGACAGAACCACACTAACGGACAGAACCACACTAACGGAGAGAACCACACTAACGGAGAGAACCACACTAACGGACAGAACCACACTAACGGACAGAACCACACTAACGGAGAGAACCACACTAACGGACAGAACCACACTAACGGAGAGAACCACACTAACGGACAGAACCACACTCACGGACGGAACCACACTAATGGACGGAACCACACTAACGGACAGAACCACACTAACGGACAGAACCACACTAACGGACAGAACCACACTAACGGACAGAACCACACTAACGGACAGAAACACACTAACGGACAGAACCACCCTAACGGACAGAACCACACTAACGGACAGAACCACACTAACGGAGAGAACCACACTAACGGACAGAACCACACTAACGGACAGAACCACACTAACGGACAGAACCACCCTAACGGACAGAACCACACTAACAGACAGAACCACACTAACGGACAGAACCACACTAACGGACAGAACCACCGCGGGAACAACGCGTTTCTTTTTTTTCTGCTCCGAATGCTGTGACGGAGCCTGTGCAGTGTCAGGCTTGTTATTGCGTTCAAGACGCACTCGTGGGCGAGAAACTGCGCACACCTCTCTCGCCGCACAGAATTCTGCACAAGACGGCGTTGTTCCCCGGAGAACGTCTGGCTTAGCCGAGACCGACATGGTCCTCCATCGATCTTCGTGGACAGCCGCGCTTCCCACACACGTTTCCGTGTTACTCCGACGGCGGGCGGCTCCATGCCAATCATCGTCCCCTTCCCAATTCTTATGATCTCGGGGCGGGGGGGGGGGCAGGAAGCTCGCAAAGGAAAGTTTCTTGAGACACGTGTTGGTGATTTTTCAACGGAGGCTAATGTATAACAAATAACCTGTGCGTGCCGACTGCTCTTGACGGAGCGGTTCAGAGATGCGTGCTTGGAATTGCATTTAGGGACGGGAGAGGTAGAGGAAGGGATGGATTAGAGAATGCACGCAGGATAAATGACATAATTCCCCACACTGTTAAGGAAATTAAAAGTTGTGGGAGTGGGGTGGAAGATGGCCGATGATCAAAGAGGAACTTCGGAGTGGCAGCCAAGGCATGGAACGTGTCGGAGTGGACATGGAGTGATGCAACCAGCACAATTACAAGTGGCTTGGTGGATCATTACATCGCAAGATTGCACGAGGTGGTTGTGGTAGCGGCGTGGGGAGGCGGCCTTCATCCAGCGGTGAACTGACCATGGCTAATGATGATCATAACTCACAATGCGAGGTTTTTTTATTGATAAAACCCGACTTAAGGGCTTCTTAGCTCACAGGCTACTTCGAAATAAACTGAACTGAAACTGTGCACTTATCCATTATTCATTCAGTGCTTTTATGTCATCCACACTCACCGTGCCTCCTGTTGCGACAGGAAACACAGCAAGAAGATCATGTTTAAACCAGAGTTGTGATATATGACACAGACGCGTCATTGATACCAGCAATCAACAAGTCACAAAAAGCATTATCATCACAATCAGTGCCATCACCATCGATGCAATCACCATCATTTTCAACCATCACCCCCCCCCCCCCCGCATCACTGCCACTAAACAAAGAGTGCAGCCATGCAATTGCCCATTGATGCCACGACTTGTGCAAGAACCTCCAAAGATAGGCAGTTGCTCTCGAGAGCCCTTCTAGAAGGTATTTGTGACCTACTCTCTTACGGTGAACAGTACACATCTAGGAAGAAGGGTGGACGCGCGCCCTCATGCCCCACACAATATTTCGGCAAAGCCAAAGAAAAAGCCCAGGAGGAGGTTAAACAAGGGGGCGGTTTTGCCATTGCTTTGTTTTGATGAAACATGGCAACAGTGGCCAGCCAGCATGGGTTTTATTGGTGTTGTGCAGACAGACACTCCTCGTCTACCGCACTCTCCTTTATCTAAACTCTCCGGGCCCGGCGGCTGATAAACCGGGGGGGCCGGTCGCGCTGCCGACACAGCCATGCTGCTCGGTCGCGGACGGGAATAGCCGAAACTCAGTCACGCGCCCCATCGCCGGGGCCAAAGGGGACAGCATTTATTTAGATTTTTGACCCCCCCCCCCCCACTTCTCCACCACCCTCAACCACCACCCCCTCACTTCTACCTCTTCCAGTTTAAAAAAAACACGTCGCCCCAACAAAAGGTCAGTAGAAGCGGGAGTCGTTTCGCCAGTGCCCAGGTGCGCGCGCGTCGAGAACCGAGCCCTCGCGCGGATCCTCGGAAGGAAATTGCCCTCGTTCAATAATTAACCAAAAAAACCACAATCCCCCCCCCTCCGCGCTCAATATTTTTCACGCTGTTATTTTGAAATTAAATTCGTTCGGCTGCACGCCGCCGGCCATCGATGGATATCGCCCGGCAGAGGCGTTCGGGGCTTCCCGCGAGTGGGCCCTCGGTATTCCTGTGGCCCCTCTTAGGGGGGAAAAACCCCCCAAACCGCAAAAAAAAGCCGCTCGACATAGACGCGCAGAGAACGCTGGGGCCAAAACGTCACGTTCTCGCGAAATTGAGATAACGGAGAACTTTTGATCGTCGTCCCAGGACGTGCTCTGCAACACATTACTCTCTCGCACCGCGGCAGGCTGCCCTAACTCGGCGCTCCGTCACGGCACGCGTTCATTTCCTGCCCGGCCTACCGAGGCTTCTCCGCGCCCTCTCGGGTTTCCACTCCACTGCCCCCCCGCCCGACTCGTCACTCACTGCAGGCAGCCACGAAGCGATCCCCCGGCCCTCAATTGAAATTAACGCCTCGTGCCTCAGAGGTCAGACACGCCGAGCCGCAGCCGTCGCCGCCGAGATTTCTGTGGTTGCGATCCGGGTTTTCCAAAACGCCCGCGATTAGCATTGTTGGCTATGTGCGGTGCGAAAGAAGCGCAACATACATCCATACATGAGGACATCTGTGAAAGAGAGCTTCATGGCTCATCGGATTTCTCCAGGATCAATGACAATTTTCATTAAACCTGGTTCAATGGGGTTTCTTTCAAGGATGGCGAAGCCGGGTCACCGATGACTGCACAAATAAAATTCCCGTCACACCCAACTTGGTTCCGCACTTAATTCCAGGACGACGATGAAGAAGAACCGACACTGGCGAGACTCTCGCGCGTCGGACAATTCTCTCGGTGGCAGGGTGGGGGCGGCAAAAGTGCTGCCCTCTCTCTCGTGGATTGAAAGTGTGCCCGTTGATAGCACAAACTAAATTTTGCTCGATGCAGAGGCACAGTGCACGCACGCACACCATCACCCCCAACCCCTCTCCCCCCCACACACACAAGAGACCACCTTCCCCCGTTCGATCTGGGCTCACGACGGCCACGTGAACACTGTCCGAGCTCGCACCGACCACGCAGCTCTGCAACGCGAGATGTCCCAGAGACGTATCTGCAAAGCGGCCGCGGCAGGGAACCAGCCCCACACGCTCCGCACGCTCGCTCTCTCTCTCTATTCTCTCGTCACGTTGTTTGGCATTTATTTATTTTACTAACAGTGATTGAGGAGCCCTGGGCAGAGTGGCTGAGATGGAGAGGGAGGTCGGGGGGGGGGGGCGATAGGTCTTTTTGGCAGCGAACCAGAAGGTTGGGGTGGTGGGGGGGGGGGGGGCTGTGTATACCGGGCCGCTGAGATGTGCGACGTGAGAACAGTGTCGACGGTTCGAGCCTCGGGGGGAGGGGGGGGGCCCTCCTCGCCTAACAGCGAACCGCCAACAAAATAAATGGAGCGCAAGCGCCGTGCGCACATTCGGCCAGAGCAGCGCCGCAGAGGAGGGATGATGGGGGTGGGTGGGGGGGGTGTGGCGTTGGGGCAAACTGAAAATAAAATATCTGTAGGAAAAGTAATTTACGTCGCTGCAATTACCACGGCCGTTATACAACCACGAGCCGCGCAACAGAACGACGTTTCGCGGAGTGGACGCTCAAGGAATCGGAAACCGTGGACTCCCCGACGGCCACCCCCCCCCCCCCCGTTGAAGTTGACACGGCCGGTCAGCGCGGCCAGGTGGTGTGAAGTGGGCGAGGTGTTTGGGGGGGGGCTGTTCCCCGCCGCTCCTCCGAGCTGCCCAAACAGCCGCGCCGCATCTCGCTTAACATAACAAACGGCGCTGGGCTGCCGCTTATCTCCGCGCGCCTCTGCTTCTCGCTAAACCAGTCCCCGCAAACATTCCTTCCGGCCCGTATCACCACGGCTCGCGCGGCCCGAACGCTCCGACCAAAACGCAAAGCCGTTTCCTTCTCTCCCTCCACAGTGGTGCGCGACGCTTGCGGTCCTCTCACTCCACCTCTTGTCTTTCACGACGCCTGCGCGGAGCTTCCCCCCCCGCCAAACCCGACCGCCGCCCTCCCACGCCCCTGGTTTGGCAGATGTCTCACGTTGGGAGCCGATGTCTGTTGGCACGGGAACAGCAACGAAGGCCCACAGATCCACGTGGCGCTCGTTGCGCGCGTTAAAGGCCCACCACCCCCCCCCCCCCAGTCCCCAGACCCCACGCCGACGATCGTGGCCCGGGCTGGATGTCATAATAATCGTGATAGCCTTCATAACAAAGGTGAGAACCGATTGAGAATACTTTCATCTCTGTCGTGTT